CTAGCATCAGCAGAACAGGCAAAAGAAGTTAAAAGATGCCAGCGCAGAAAGAGGATAAGATAAGAGAGCTGTTCGCTCGCTCGGCGGCGCACTATATTATTATGATCATTATTATTATGATTATATTTGTTAAGAAAAAAAATGAAGATGCGCGCGTGAGGTGCTCTGAAATATAAGGAGTTGCATAACTGCACAATTTGAAAATACTCAGAGTCATTATGACGCAAAAGTCAGGCTGGTTATCGCGAAAGAAAGACGAAGAAGAAGAAGCAGCAGCGATTAGGCGCTTGTATATACCTAAGAAGTCTCTCCTTTTTTTCTCTTCTTTTTTTCACTTCCTCGTTCTCCTTCTTTTCTTCTGCACCTTCTTTCTCCCGTCATTCTTTCTCTCTCATTTCCGTTTTCCTCATTATGACTACCTACGATTTTTCGCCAACTCAAGTCATCCTCCCAAACGGCTACTTTTAGCATCGAGCAATTTAGACCATTAGCAAACGATCTATTCTACTATAATGAATTCACGCTTCACCAAAGATGCTATTTGAGAAAAGTGCAGGAGGTCGCGCGCGCGTGTAAGTTTAATGTAAAGTACAGGAGCTGGAAGGAAAGGGGAAATAAGTCGGCTAAGCCAAGATTCGAGCGCCCATAGGATTAAATATAATATATCTCTCGAGGAAATATTCGAATAAGCATTTTTTTCTCGTTTGTGCTCGTAAATCTGTTATTTATAAGTAGCAAAATTAGATTTTACGACGAGAGGAAAGTAGGTATAAAAGGTATAATTCGTCACATATATAGTGTGTCTGGGAGCGCACGTTTCTGCGAGAAAGAGGGGAAAACGCATGTACGACAGTTTCCGTTTGCACTGCAAATACAAGCTCACAGCAAGAGAAAGTTGAATGGTCATATACATTGCAGTGCAAGTATATATAATAATATGAGAGAAAAAATATATATACGTATAATAATGTGCGTATATACAATATAACAGTAAGGTGGGCAGACTACGGGCTTGCAACGACAGTATTATATATATCTATATGTACAGGTAGAGAAAATAGAGAAACGGGGGAGGTGGATGAGGAGAAGAGGACTCGAGTTCTCGCATATGACTATGTAAATTTGTTTGAGAACGAGCGCTCAGAGAATGATTTTAGTGACAAAGAAGAGCACAGAGCACTCCGCTTTTTGTGCCGGAGTGTCGCAAGGCAACTCGTTTACTGACTGCACGCGACGCGCGACACGCAACATGACTCAAGCTAGTAGTAGTAGTAGTAGTAGTAGTAGTAGTAGTAGTCGTACGCTACGTATGTATATATGTGGGCCACTGAAAGGGGTGCAAATTATATGAGACTGCTGTCGTCACGCTTCCTCTTTCGTACTTCTCGCTCTCTCCCTCGCTCACTACCCTTCCTCGTCCCTTCTTCCTCTGCGCGCATCCAATCCGAGCTAGCGCAGGGCTAAACGTCTAAAATATTTAAGCGCTCGGTTCCTCCGAACGTGATAATCGGCATTTTATGGAATTTTGCATAAAAAAACTGGCAAAGCTGGAAAAGTTTTTTGTTTTCCGCCGCTGTGTAGCGATGCTGCACGCGCGCAAGTCCGTGTATATCGTATACATAAAACGCGTCACGACACAACACCGGAATAAAACAGTTTTGGTTGCCACAACTCTCGAGCATTTTTTGCACGCGCGCTTGAAACGCATAAAATAAAAAAACCCTCGAAGCTCGCAGCAGCACACACAGCGCTGGAGCAGAAAAGCACGGAGGAAAAAAATCACCACATCGGTGTATCTCAAGAGCATCATTGCATTTCTCATTCTGCCTCACCCTCGCCCTCCTCGCATCTCCGTGTCTGTGTCTACGTGTGTACGTGTGAGAGCTGAGTATGTCATCTCCGTTTCGCTCTGGCGCTTCTCTCTGTCTCTCTCTCTCTCAAGTATCGCCACACACAAACATGCGCGGGTGCTTTAAAGCGTCGTCGTCCCCCCACCACGCGGGTACGGGCAAGTTGCCTGGCTGAATTCCAAAAGCCGAAGAAATCCGAAACAAGTACCGTTATATAGTTCTGTTTCTGCCTGTCTTCCTCTCAACTCACTCGTATTTGTACGTAAGAATATAAGTTTCGACGACGACGAGGACAGGCTCCGCACACTTCATACTACTAGCCTCGATTTGAGTATACGCGCCCAGAGCACAGCAGCACAACAAGCCGTAATTTGCCCCTGTTTTCCATCTTCGGTCCCTTCTTTGTATTCGTTCTTTCGATAAGTTTGTTATATGCTGGCTTTTGTTGAACTCGCACAGGGTCCCCGTTCGAAGAGTTGGTATAGTTATAGATTCTATCTGTTGCCGACACTCGATGCAATGTACTAATCGATTGCGTAAAAAGCTTTTTTGTTAGCCATCCATTCGAGCTTCGGCTATATACTGTGTGTGCAGTGCAGTATAGCATGTAGCTGCACTTACACTTGAATCGACGCGGCTGGAAAAAGAACGAGCGAGAGTGGAAAATTAACGGGCTGTTTACGCTGGCGGCCAAAGCGTGAATCTATACACACGTAACGTGTAAAGACACACAACAGCAGTTTACATCCAAGTGCAAGATGTACATTAAAATCTTCTCTTCAAAGTTGAGCGCGCACACCCCCCAACCAAATACCGATGATCAGCGTATTATATTTATAATATCGCAGAGTATATTACCAAGAGATTATATACACGTTGCATAGAAAGTCGAACGCTGTGTGCGTGTGTGTGTGTACGTGCTTCCGAGGCGATCGTGTGTTGTTCGGATGACGCAGAGAATACTAATAAAAGTTTTTAAGCGCTTTTTCGATATATTGCCTGTTCAATCGTTTTTTAAAGTTCGTTGCGCTTCCCGACCATACACGATAGAACGATCGAGAGAGAAAGACAGAACCAAGAGTCTGTATGTATATAGGTATTGCCATATATAGGCTACGCGTGCCCTATAAGCGCCAGATACGTTCCATATATATTTGCCGCTGAGCGGTACATAACGAACTTTTTTATTTCGGCAAACAATTCGATAAATATTAATTTTCGATCGGTTTTGTATACTACGTGCAGCTTGCAGGGAGAAAAAACCTTCAGTGCCCCCGCCCTCGTAGTGTACCTACGAGGCACAACTTTGCTTACATGTTCCTATATTTCTGTTACTTTCTTTTTTTTTTATTCAATTTATAAATGCTAGTATTTGTTTTACTCTTTATTTTAAATCTTTTTATCTTTTTTTATTGTTAATAAAAACCACTCCTTTTTTCGCTACCGTTTATTCGGTAATTTTCTGATGTGAAACTTTTTTTTCGGACGTTATATTTACGATGTACCTGTGAGTAGTTTGTTCCAAAATCGATTCGATACACTCGGTTCTCTATAGATAAACTTATGAGAAATGCGCGCACAAGTTTGCGGGACTTTATGAACATAATTAAAGAGATCTGGAAGCTAGATTCGTGTTGCGTGACATGACATCATTATTGATAAAATATTATGAAAAAGTACTATTCTATATTGAAACTACAGATTTTGCTAGCAATACCCCTATTAATCGGTAAGTCAACGTGGTTATGTACATTTCTGAACGCCAATAAAATCAATTTCAATTCAATGGCATATTGTGTTTTAGTAATTTAATTGTAATGATATATTGATTAAAATCACTCAATTTCATACGATTTTTATAATTAAATTTTTTTGACAATGGTTTGACTTATAGGATTATCTTGACTTTGTCACTTGTAGATTTACAGGCAAAGGTATGTTTAAATCATTGGTCATTATGCTATAATGAATATTGAGCCTTTCCTCCACAGTATTTCCACTTATCTTTTTTTTATTATTGAACTGATTGTACAAAATGCTGCATCCTTTTGAGTCCTTCAAGCAGATTACGTGATTCATTTTCACTCGAGCTTATGGCTATAGACACATACGTGAAGCTGCGTCATCGACCAGTTACCACTGAAAAAATGTGGTTCTTTTGAACTTGAATTTTTCGGAAAATGCTTTTTATCATTTTTTATCATCGCGTTTTTAATCTTTGCGATTTCCCGATAATCCGCCATTAATGCATCGATAATTTAATTGACGCATATGGAAACTCGCAAGCACATTGGGGGCATAGATATTTAACATGACAAACTCAAAAAGCAATAAACGTTAAAATGTATCAGGAAGTACTAATTAAAAAAGTTTTTTAATTAAAGAACCCAGTATGCTTGCGTTGCGTTATGGTAAAGCACGTAAAATTTTTGAGCCATTAATTATGCGTTTGCTATTTCAATAATACACCGCGGTCTAAGTCATATCATGATTGGTGTGTGGGAGGAAGGGGGGGAAGGATTGGGCTTGCCAGCAGAGGGGCACGATACAAAGTTTCGAACGAGAGCGGCGCAATATCCCCCAGCCTCGTAATAATGATGTACTGCGATTTGAACATTCAAGGCACGAATTTTATGACATTGCCTCGGGCTACACCGGACTCCGAGCAGGCCACACTTTGGTGATAACTTAAATATGAAAATCAATTTACAGAAAAATATGTATCGTGTTCTTTTATAACAATGTAAATTACACAAAGACAGCACCAAAAGAACAATAACAACGAGTACAATGGATTACTTTCACCTTTATTTTCTCTCTTACAAAGACAAACTTCAAACAAACGATTTATCCAGTGGGACAAACACTCGGGCGTCAAATAAACCAAACATTGCTTTGCATAAACGTGGACACGCTTTACACCGTTAAAATTATATGAATGAAAAAAAATTTTTAATTACACAGATAATTTTTTAACGGTGTAAATGAATTTTAATCGTTGTAATATTGGTCAATCGCGAGAAATCGAAATTGAAAATGGCTCGGCTTGTAAAACGTGATACGCGGTAATGTACGCGGGTGACGGGAAAAGGGAGAGCCGAAGGAAAAAAGAAGAGGAAAATAGAAGCCAAAAAAAAAATTGCGTCGATTTTATTTGCCTTTAGCCGGGCGATATCGAGTTTTCGGTTTGGCGAGTTTCTTGAGGCGCGGCGTGCATCTGGCTTTGAGAGCGCTCTTCGGTACGCTGAAGGCATCCTCTTTGAGGTCGGTCTCACGACCCGGTGGCCGCTCCGCAGGTTTGGCTAGTTGCAGCGTGCGAGTCGTTGCTGTAACATATGCACATATACACATACACACATGGTATACTCTACGAGTGGTTGTATACGTTTAGAGAAAATATACCAAGTTGAGTGGGCGAGTACAAACGCACACGCGCACTCTGAGCTTTTTCGCCGAGTTGAGAAGATCATGCGGGATTTTACGTTTGTACATGTGTGTATGGATGTGTACGCGTGAGTGTGAGTGTACGAACGTATGTTCTTGTTGCAACTAATGGAACAGCAAGGATTCTTCTTTGAACTAGAGACAAATCAAAGACGAGCTGGTAGACGATGTTGAGCTCGGAAAGTACATTTTTATGTACAATTTTTACAAGAGTACTTCGCGAGATGCAATGAAAATTATGAAACAGACAAAAGTACCCTGCTTCGATTAAATATTTTTTTTTCTTCAACCCGTCAGTATTCCAGCAGACATGATGCTACTCTTGCTGCTGTGTGCCGCGAGATGAAAAAATTGTAAAAATTTCACTCAGTTTTTTTTACGATCTAATACTTTTATTCCTATGCGTATCAAAGTTCGAAATCTTGAAATGGCGCTTTCGAATATTTAAAACTTTATGGGACGATAAAGAAACTCGAGCAAAGAATAATATTCATGCGTATATAAGCGTGGAAAAAAATAAATATGTGTCATGATTTGATATTTCATTCAAATGAAATTATTACGTGCTTGCTCGTGTGCTTGTGTACGGTAAAAGTGTATCGTTAAAAAAAATAAAAATATTGAGTCTTTGATATTAAAAATACGTAAAAATAATAGCGTAAAAACAATGAATGACCCTTTGCTCATGCGAGAAAATAATGAAAGGCGATATTACGTTCGGCCTTGAGAGCGTTCGGATTCACGGCGCCCGGCACTAGATACTCCGGCTCTGGTCGAACATTTTCCCGATCTGCGAGCTTCAGCATACGTTCCGTTATCTTGTAGACAAGGGCCGACGGTTGCACTGCAAATGGATCTCTGCCGTCGGGCTTTTGTTTGCGTGCTGGCTTAGCCAGAAATTGCAATCGAACCATATTGGGCTTCGGCTTTTTTTTCGACGCCAGCTAAAATGTTCGTAAGTGTATGAACATCATATTGGCATTAAGAGCTTAATATTATTTGTCAGATTGTGTGTTTGGTGAGCGTTTAATTCGTCGCGCACTCGAATGAAAGAGGACGATATTACGAGGAAAATCCAAAATAAGTTAACAAATAAGAGGGCAAAAGATAGTATAAAATTGCAGTAAAAGATGGAAGCATAGATTTCAATATTTGTACAAAGACGATTTCCACTAAAAATGCATCAAGTAGAAAAGTCAAGATATTGTCAGACATATAATAAAACTTGGGGAAGTCTTTTGTATATTTGATTCGCGCAACTTTTTTATATTTTACGTTGAAATTTCAAATACGAAAATGAAATAAAATTATTCATAACGAAGAATTCGAAGCTGCTGCTGATGCTGCAAATTTGTCGAGCGGCTCACAGCGCAGCTCAGTGGAAACAAGGGCCTAAGTACTGTTTAATTCGGTAGAGCGAGTCGTGCGTCATACAGGGCTGAGAAACTCATTAGACACATAACGGGCAAGCTCGAGACAGATTTAACAACGGAAAAACACACACAGGTGAGAATCAATTAGAAAAGAATAGAATATATAATCCGAGCTTGCACGTGCGCGACGGAATTGCGATGCAGCAGCCAAGCAGACGAGTATTCGCGTTTAATAAGAGAGCAGCAAAAGCAATTAGAATGAACGAGAAATGGCAAGAATAATTTCGAGCGATAAACATTAACGAGTATGAGACGAAGTGTGATGCGCACGTGTAATATAAGTGAGCGAATGTCTTGAATTCTGACTTGACGATGATAATGTACTCACGGGTTTGGATCGAGGTCGCCTGGGTAGCTTTTTAGGCTGCGCCAGCCTCTCCAGAGCTTTCTTGTGTCTCTCCCAGTCGCCGGTACTGGCAAGGTATCTTCGCATCTTTCTCATGATCTTCCTTCTGTTTTGACAAAAAAAAATAAACGTTGAGTCGCTCTTTATTTTTGGTTCGAACGTTATAAACGTGAGTTCGAAATGTAAACACATTAACTGCAATTTCAAAAATCGTCACGCTTATAGCTTCCCGCATGCATTCGACTAGAGATTAAAACGATCAACAAGGTATCACCTGATCCTATTATAAGCAGTTCATTTCGAAACGGGACCCGGGAAGCTGGAGAATATTATCCGGCTCTGTATAGATATGATTTAGAAATTTATAACGGCCTAGGCAACACCCAGATATAGAGAGAGAGGAGGGAGGGGGGTAGAGGTATAATGCGGGATGAACGGCTGGAGTGTACGGCGCGCTACGAAAGCGCCAGATACAACCGCACACACACAAATACATGTATAGACACACGCGAGCGAGCGCACAGGCAGGGATATATAATGCAATAACTTGAGCGACCGCGTGTACACGCACAACTTTGCGGATATTCCACCCGCTTATGTGTATACGCGCGCTGCGGCTTTTACATTCCCTGGATCATGCAAATTTCCAATTTAATCATGATGTAAAATAGTATAATTTACATGTATAATATGTGTCACTATGCTTGTTTATTGTTGGCCGTTTGCACGGCCATTGGCGCGAGGGTCGATCTCTCCCCGCGCCAGAGAAACAAAAAGTGCCTATAACAACACCTACATACACACACGTTCATATAAGTTGCAAGAGTGCAAGGTATATAGAATGAGGAAAAAAAAACGCGGGAGAAAACGGATAAGCTTGGCTCCGTGGACTTTTTCATCTTGAATTGGATAGAGCAAGCTTTTTGTGTGACCACATCATAGCCATGTGTGTGCGTGTAGCCCGTGTGTAAGTGCGTTTGATGTATGTGTACAGCTTTCGCGCGTACTTCCTTCGAGGTTTTCTGCTTAAAAGTTCGTTTCTGGCGAAAAGTACGCTCGAGTCCGCAGACGACGAGCTCTACTGCATGTACAGCGACACATTGCAAGCACTTCTGGAAGATCCATCACCAGAGGAGAAAAACTTTTCCTCTTTCTATCCCACTTTTTCTCGCTCTCTCTCTCTCTCTTTCTCGCTCTCTCGTTGGTCTCTCTTTCCCTACACTCTCTATCTGCGACTCATGCAGAGTGCAGCATGAAATATTTTTGACCATTTAAGCGCCTTACTAACTGACTTTTGCCGTCCTTTTTCTTTTTCTCTCTTTTGCTCTCCGACCGAAGATGAATTATTTCACACCCGCCAACTGCTAAGTCGAATCATTCTAACACCTCGGGATTGGTGGATAAGAGCTCGGCAACGGATTTAATAAAAATCTTGCGAGGATTATTTGCGCACGGGTGGGGAGAAACGATGCGCTGTCAATGTGTCAAAAAACGGCGGCTGCAGCAAGGAAGAGAGAGAGAGAGAGAGAGAGAGCAAAACGCATCAACGCTCAGCGCCTCACGCGTAAGTGCTCAGAAGTCGTCTTCGTGTGCGAGGACTCGCTTGGGCGCACTGCAGCTGCAGCCTCTATATAGCTCTTTCTAAGAGCTACGAGATCCTTCCCCATTTCGCAATGATTTTCGGTAAATATGGGAAAAATGATGCACTCGTATTTTTCAAACTGTATGTATACCATGTACTTTGTTACGCGCGTTTCTGTATGTGTGTGCGTGCATGTGTACGCGAAGCTGAGGCATAAAGTGGGTGAGTGAGTGAGTGAGAGGAAAAGAGATGTTATTTCGCATCGCAGCAAGAAGCTGGATATTATTTTGACAAGGTCCTAAAACGAATTGCTTGAGGCATTCGTGAACTGCTGCCGATAGATACTTCAATATTGGTTGACTGATACAAAAATATATCGATAGAAGCTTTATAAGTTCACCCGCGCGCATTACATAGATATACACTGACCTATATGCACTTATCACTCACTCCCTCTCTTTCCCTCGTGCTTTTAAAGCGATGATCACAAAATTTGTATTATCGTGCCTCATTTAACCGGTTAATAGCACAAAGCTTGTATACACGTTTACAAGTACACTGAGCACACACGCCCTCGTGTATTTGGGAGTCATTTTAAAATAAGTTGAATAATTAATATCTAAAATGAGATGAGGCTAAGTTATTACTTATTCAAAAGGACGCTCGCATCTACTCTCATGTATGTGATTGTGTATGTGTATGAGTACATCTGTGCATATGTGAGCCGAGACCGAAGTTAAACATGCTGAGTTCAACAAAATTCAACGTTTCCAGGTCACTGATAAAGAAGCCAAACTACATGTTTATTGCCAAACAAGAGAACCCGAAAGAAAACTTCCCATGCGCGGATGTGGTCATTTCAGATGAGCAAGTTTATGCATACAAGACTCGAGAAATTTGTTTAGCAATTTGTTTTTTCGGAACTTTGTAGGCTTTTTCCGAGCACCTGAAAATCGTCGTCTGCCATGCAAATTAAGATTGTATCGACAAAAAAAAAAAAATAAACAACAATACTCTATTATCTTTGATTTTAAAGGTGTGAGAAAGTTTCCAACGTTACATACCATTGGCTGACCTATTCTTTTCAAAACCAACTAAAATCAATATCGATTTTTCGTTGAGTTGGTTCCGAAATTTCATAAAAGTCAAGAGCTCGACGCAAGAGCTATATGTAGCTTATAGTAGGGCAACGTCCTGCACCCACATTTGAAGAGTCTAACGCACTAGGATGTCAACGACGACGAACCGTTAAAAAAAATCTATCGAGCGGAAAAGAGCCATGAATTATTTCCGACTTTTATACGGAGGTTAGCAGCACAGCGCAGTAGTAGCAAAGTAAAAGACAGAGAATAAGAGAGAAGGCGCAGTGAAGGCGAGTGCCCACGCGCGCGCGGAGACGTGTACGCGATGGTCGAACATAACAATAAAACAAGAAGAAAAAAACTACTGAAGCGAGATGCAATGCGACGTAGAATGAATTGTGAGGTAAGAAAAGCAAAAATGGCAAAAAACACAGGGGGAAAAAGGTCGAAGCGAAAAAGAAGCCGAGGATAGGTGTATTAGAGAGGACCGAGAGGGGGAAAAATGAGAAAATATAAAGAGTAAACAGAAAATCAGAAAGTACGTAGACAGAGAGTCTTTTTCTCGTGTGTAGTGCACGCAGCGCATAGTGCATTCAATCGTCCATTCACCAATGGAGGAAAATCAATAAGCCAACTCGAAGAAGAGCAACAATGACAGCCCCGCGCTGTACTTTAGAATTCCTGCGAAAAATGAGAATGCTAGGAGAGCGAAATAGATACAATAAAGCACTAGTAGTAGTAGTGATAGTAACAGCAGTAGAGAGTCGACAGAGAAGAGGAAACGAAGCGCATTGAAAACGGGTAGAAGGACGACAGAGTGCGGAGGGAGACAAATTGGTGGAAATGCAGCAGCAGTGGGCAAAAGAAGGAAAGATTAGCAGTGATAGCGAGTCGGTCGGTAAGTGAGAGGATTAAAGCAGAGCCGAGTGTGTGTGTAAATACACTCCAATGAAATAGCTGTGGGTAACTGAAAGTGAGGTGCAGGACTAAAAAATAAAAATGTATCGATGTAAAAAGCGACAAAAAAGGGGGAGAGAGAAGCAGCAGTAGAAAAAAAAAATAACACGCAGACACACACACGCGCGCGGATACAGCCGAGTACTCTCAAGAATGAAGAAATTGGAGAAAATAGAGGGCAACAAAGCCCAAGTGTGAAAAGAATTGCGCATGAATGTGTCTGCGTCTATATCTGTGTGTATGTGTGTGTACGACCGTCCCACGACTCTGTATATACGGTGAAAGTCAAATTCAAAGGCTCCGAGAGCTTCAAAGAAAGGATGCATTATAGTATTGGATCGTTACAAATTTTTTCCCCTTTTTTTTCTCTTTTTCTCCCGACAACAACGTTTTACTTGCTACTACAGAGCTCTCGCTGTATATAAACGCAGCTTCCATCTCCGAAGATAAAAGACTGGGTCTCTAGTGAAAATCAAAAAGATATATACATATAATGCTATACGTATAGCAGAGAAGAGAGAGAGAGAGCCGATATAATCGAGGCTCTCGCGCATTTCGCTTTGAGCTAAGATGATGTCGGTATACGTTTGATTGTTCACTGCTTTATTTCCTCGTGTGTAAAAGAAAATGTTTTTTTTTCCCAACTCCTGCATTCGTAATCAGTTTACGTCGCGTATACCTACGATAAAGTGAGAGAGAGTAGTAGTAGAGTATATAGCGAAATAGAAAGGCAAGCAAGTAACGCGAATCGCGGTATGATTGCCTCTCTGTCTTTTGCTCTCGAATAGAAAATTGTCTGACTACAAATAGCAAAAGAGAGTCTGAGAGAGAATAAAAAAGACTTCTCAATATCATAGTTTTGAGAGAAATCCCAAAAGGTATATCTAGACACGACAGGACGCATTAAACTCGCATTATGCTGAAAATGCTCCATGCTTGATTCACGTAGAGAGAAAGAGAAACGATTGGAGGCTCATTAGATATAGGTGAGTATTAACATACATATAATGCGTATAGGTGGATGATACTTACTCCCTTTCGACCGCTCGTTGATGCAATGAGTTGCAGATCATGCGATACTTTTGATACCTCGACTTGCGTATGCCTCTCAGCTGAGCGCTGACGTTGGCCAGTCCAGCTTTATTGCCCAGCGATACGAGATACAAACGGGCGTGCATCAAGGCGCTGCAAATAAATAAGAACACATGTTTCGTTAAACGGCACAGTATATAGCATGAAATCTCTCTCTCACAGCCAAGTTATTCGAAAAGGCATTAACCAGGCGACATATTTAGATAATGCGCCGAGCATGCCGCTTCGATCGCTCATGAGAAAGGATAGAGAGAGAGAGAGGGAGAGAAGTGAAACTCGTGTGCCGAGAACGTTTTATTCTGAGCGTGTTTTTGATTAATTAGCCGTACGTGGCGGAGATTAGAGTACGGACGACGGCCGTATATATTCAGCCTCCGAGGAAGTCTAACACTCTGCACTGATTGAATATCAAGTAGAACAGGCTGTTTTACTCCCCCAGTCCCGAGGCAAACTTTTGAATGCTTAATTGGCTTGCACGTGAATCTCTTTCGTACTTTTTCTTTCTTTTAATGATAATTTTGGATGAATTTCTGTGGGGATCAACGAGGCAACAAGCTGCTCTCTCGCAAATATTTATATTCAATATTTTGGATGCGAGTGTGCGCACATGTTCGAATACGAGATATATCGCGCTATCTCTCTTTATGCGTGGTGCATTCCAGCAAATTCGATACACTTGGAAGGCTATATAAAATCAAAGGCAACTGATCGTCAAACAAGTGTAATGTCCATACGCGCAGAAGGGCTTCGAGTTTAAAGATAAATATTAAAATATTTACGAAAACAGGCGCTCGTGGCGTGCAATGGCATGTGGAGTATCGAAAACTCGAGAGCGACACCACGAGAGTGTGTATTTTTGCAACTACAAAGCGTGTGTGTATATTGCGTATAAAATCGTACAACAGTGATAAAATATGGCGGAGAGGAGCCATAGCGCCCGCTGTGCACGACTTTTTTTTAGCCCACGCCTGCCAGCAGGTATATTATTTTTTCACTTGTCGCGAGTCGCGTGTCTGCGCTTCGTTTCGCGCCATCAACGGTGCGACACGAAGCCTTTGCAACGTCGTCGTCATCGTCGTCGTTCTATGCGTCGAATCACATCCGTCAAGACGTTTGTTTTCGCTTGCTTTGCTTTCGTCGCGTGTACCCGCCGCCGCTGTTTCATTTCTTTTTTGCTCCGATTTCGTTGCTGCTCGTCACACGAATATGAACGTGTATCGGATGGAACACGTATGCTCGCGATGCTATCGAATTTTTACTACCCCCAGTTAAAAGAGAAAAAGGAGTACGACAGTTTTTGAAAGATATAAAATATGCGTATAATTTCGAAAACTCGCAAAGCGGGGTCAATTTCAAAAATGTGCACAACCATTTTTCAACTCTCTTTACACACACACACACGTGTAACTGGGAGGAAAGTATGGGAAATCGCGTGGAACGCTGTACTGCTCTGCTCTGCTAGTGTGTGTGTGTGTGTGTGTGTGTGTGTGTGTGTGTGTGTGTGTGGGTGTATGTGCATGTGTGCCAGTGCAGGGCAAAAATAATTGATTGTTCGATATTAATCACCTGCAGTGAAAAACAAACAAACCAACTGCTGTACATAGATTTAACATCGAAGCATATGAGAGGAGAGGCGAGGAGGCCGAGGCAGAACGAGGTGAACAAACAAACATAGGCTCTCTCTCTCTCACGTGCGCACGTTACTATTTATATACTACACTTGATCGAGCTTTTTTTTACCTCTTTCCTCTCTCTCTCTCTCTCTTTTTCTCTTGATGCTCGATCGATTTCCTCTGCACGCCTATCCCGGAAAACAGCAGCAGCAGTGGCGGCGGTGGTGGCGTCGGCTGCACGATTCAGAGAATATAAAAAGAAATTCATTCTCTATGTTGCATGCCTTACCCATACCACTACCTCGTGGAAGGATGAGGTGCGTACCTTACAAAGCTTCTACACCGTAGCTACTGCTATTGCTACCGCTGCTTCTGCTGCTGCTGATATAGGGCACAAAAGTCAAAGCGAAACATTCCAGTAGTAGGCATGTGTATATTTGCACGTATTTGTACGCTTATATACAGATAGATAGAGAGGGCGAGTAAGGGAGAGAGAAGAAAGAGACGAGCCATGCCTGGCAAACATCAGACTGGCACATACAAAGTTGGTAGATGAGTTCGCGCGCGTGCGTGCGGGTATACACCTCATGTATGTATTATAAAGCATTCAAGCTATGCGAAAAGAGCACGAGAGAGTCTGGGCATATAATAAAGCTTAAGTGCTTTGAAATCGCGTATCGCAGTCTTTATATCGTATTGCCAGCGCCCTCCCGTCCGCCGCCGCCACCGCCACAGCGGCAGCCTACTCTATGCCAATCTCAAGCCCCTTGAGTCGTTGTCTTATGCAAAGCAGTGAAAATGTATAAAGCGTTGAGCGCCGGAACACAGAGATAAATATATAGACCCATATAATATCTTCTCGAGGCCTGACTTCTTACTTGCCTCGCCTCGTGCGAGTCTCCACGCGTGTAAAGTCACGTTTAATACGTATTTATGTATGTGTACGAGTGTGTGAAGGAACGAATGAAAGCCCATGAAGAGAAAGATAGAGAGTGAGTGAGTGAGAGAGAAAGAGACGTGTTGTCGTGCATTGACTCTCAGGCATGTGTATGTGCGTATGGTGCTCGAGACGCGATGCAGATGCCTCGCGTGTGCAGTCTCGAATGATAACGAGGCCGCAAGTAATGATGAAAAAGATGCACGTTCGACGATTCGATGAATGCGCGAAGTGTCTTCGGGGCAATTCGTTTGTACGCGGTAATTAGTCAAAGGCTCAGGAGATAACTTTTATGGTCTGACTATATTGTTGACCTAATCCACTAAACCTGAATCCATCGCAATTCTTTCGTTATTGAACTTCGAATATGGTTAGTGAAATAATTTCAAATTACTTTTCATTGAATCAAGTTGATTATTCAAAAAGTAACTAACATAGAAGACTTTGTTAAAATTTTTCAAAATTCGATTTTTACGGAAAGCAGCGAATATTCTTGCGGTGCTCTTTTTGCGTGTGGCGTATCTTTTTTTTTCCTGAACTCAGCTTTTGCCTGGAAAAAGACGGCAGATTACAGAGGGATTTGCTTGGTGCTCCATAATTTACAAGAATTTTCCCGTGCGCGAAAACGACTACTTTGAGAAGAAAAATTCATAGAATATAAAAAATGTATATCTCTCTCTCTTTCTTTCCCTCCTTTGCTCTCTCTCTATTTCTTTCCTTTTTCGAGGTCTATATTATTTACATAGGCATTTTTCACACACGAAAATTTCCAAACCGCGTGTATACATTACTTCAAAACTGATATTGCATTGGGCGGTTGAAAGATATCTATTTTGGCTCGCTTTGAGAAAATTTCTGACATTTCCATTTTACGTAGTTCACTTGCGAATAATCGCGAGTCTCTTATATGAACATTTTCATAACCGTTTTTTTTGTGCGAAAAAAATATCAAACATCGAGCGAAAGTGAGAACAAAGATGAGAAAGAGAGACATCTGCATATGCAAATAAAAAGGGTCGAGGAGCCCTGCGCATTTTGCGCATTGCAATGTCGTATCTCAAATTAAACGCAGCAAGATGCATCTGTGTGTAAGGGAATACTCATGTGCGCGCAGTACTCGAGAGTATATACTACATATATCTGCACACCACGACCACGAAGATAGACGAGTGCGAAGTCTGGTGCGGCGGCAAAACCGAAGACTCGAAGATGAGAGACATGGAGCAGTGGCAGTGGCAGCGGTAGCAGCAGTAAGCGGCAACGCCACTAGATCTGAGCCGAGCCGAGACAGAGAAGAGCGTCGAGAAAGCAATTTGTCTGTGCATGTGCGTCAACAATCAAACGCCGATTCGGTATTTTCGCTACGCGCCTCCTCGACTTTTGCGCTTAGGCGAGACACTAATGCATGTACTGTGCAAGCATTTATATGAAGCTTTACCCTCCCGCCCCGTGTCTCCTCTTATACACGTGTGTGCCCTCACACAGACGCACACCGCTGTTGCAGCGACGGCAGCACAAGAACAAGAGATATTGGAATTCTCGTGCGGCTGTTTGCGAAAGGGCTGCTGCTGCCGCTGCGGCAGACGTGAAAAGTCATTTTTGGTTGACAACGATGACGTCGTCGTCCCGCATGCACGAGTCTCGACTTTTCGTAATGACGATGCTCCTAGAGACTGCGTGTGCTCTATACAGAGTAGTGTGCAAGCGCTGGGAATACCAAAAGACGGGTTAACGCGCGTGCTTTTAATATTCTTGACGCTCTCTTATCGGTTGCTATTATTTTTTTTTACTCCGATGAACACGAATGTTTACGTATCGCACGATGCCGTGAGAGTGTGTGTGTGTGTGTGTGTGTGTGTGTGTGTGTGTGTGTGTGTGTCTGTTATTCAACATCAGGTGCGAAACAAATTTGCAACATTACGTCGGCAAACAAACGTGACGTACCGCTGACACGCGTGAATAATTAATTATCGCATTAATGTCATTGATGCAACACGAGCAACATTTTTCATGTATCGGGTATCGTTTTGCAACACGCGCCTCGTTGAAATAACGCCATTGAGTTTTATTCATCAGTCGAAATTGCATTTAGCGTGACGAAAATTTGGGTCACCAAGGAATTTGCTTGTAATGTTACGCATGCCTGCGTACATCATTATGTACCAGCACAACGTTGTAATGTATGGGGGATGTCGTACGAATGAAATAATTGCTTGGACTCCGTTTTATCCTGTGTAACTAGCACGCTGCTACGACGCTACTCTCTGTCTCTCTCTTTTTCTCGCTCTCCTCCGTTTCCACTCGCTTAATGAGTTCGGTTTGTATTGCTTTTTCGCTTACACTTTTCTCTCACTTCGCCTTTTTTATTTGATTTTATCGTTTAACTGGAAAAAAGCAAAGGAATCTATTGTTTCATCCGCCCCCTCTTCTAGTGGCACCGACGCGGAGGTCTCCTGTGCTACTACCTCCTTCCCATGTACAGATATACATCTGAAGAAAATTAAAAGATTTCGCTCGCCCTCACCGGCGCGCTAGAATTCTTTCAATCCCCCTCTCCCTTCGGCCGTGTTTAAACATTGTTTCATTTGGATTACGACGGTAAATACAAAAGAATTAGAGCCTTGTTTGAAAAATAAATAACTCAGAAGCTACCAGCGTGGCTTTGTGTCTTCGACGAAGACGACGACGGCGGTAGCGGCGGCGGTGGCGGCGACGACAAAGTCGTTGAGACGATGACTATGGGATTCTCTCCTTCTCTCGTACTCAGCAACTCCCTTCTCGTTTTCGGAGGGTGAAGCGTCGTCAATGTGTCCAGATTGGACGAAACAATTATGCATCAATTCGCGAAACGAGCGCGTAATGCACCCGCCCCGAGCTTTGTGTGACATAAGTTCTCTGTCGACGTTTAATCTCTCAGCCGCTTGTGCACTTGGGCTCCCGCCGCTGCCTGGCTGACTTTCATATATCGTTACATTTAAGCGCAATTAACGTTCGAGTGCGCAAAGCAGAGTGTCGACGTCGTCGACGTTGTAGGAGCGCACACATGCATTGAAATTCATAGCACTTAAACTGTGGATACATGAGTACGGCGTTATGGGGAGCCAAGAGAGAGATGGAGAAAGTCAAACTAATTAGCTAATCGACCAGTGCGTCTGTGCGTGAGTTTGGGTGTGTGTGAGTCCACGTTTTGTGGGTGAATAACGCGGAGAGGAAACGTAAAGCATTAAGGCTGTCGCATTGCTTTACTATATATAATATTAATTCCAATGCGTTGATGCAATGAACTTCAACTAGACTCTCATGTATCGAGCTACTATTCTACCGTGCACTTGCCCGGTGCGTACAATCGACCGATTGTCTTCATTTTGAGCACGAGTCCCCCAAAATAACAATGCAAAGACCTCGAATGAACAACGTGACGCGGCTTACTGCTAGAAAAAAAATGGAAGCAAATATTTTTTCCCTCCACTTACTCGACACCTTTCGTGTTATTAATCAGTAGAGCTGCCAAGTGGCGTACGAAAGCAAAAAAAATCTCACATCTATAAAACGTATACAGAGAGTGAGTAAACTAGGAAAAGTCGAGCACGCGAAACACTCCAATTTCATGGGACGCACTCGATAAATTCGTATATACCACGAAGCTACGGAGCAAAACGAGAGAGAAAAAAATTGCCTTGAGCCGCAGTAGCGTGTAGCTCCTAGTGCGCACTGCATGCGACAAAGGCGCGACACATGCAAAGATTGGGTGCTACAGAGAGAGAGAGTGAGAGAGAGAGAGAGAGAGAGAGAGAGAGAGAGTACACAAATATATACGTAAAGTAGATAGCAAGATGAAACAACACCAATACAGACGCGGGCGCACATTCGTGTACGTATACTTATACGAACCTTTTTTTTGGTAAGGACAGATCAAAGAGGCGTTTGGTGCTCTCCGGGCTCATAGTTATACTGTCCCCTCTGCGAGCTCGTAGCGACATCCTGCTGTAAGCACAAAAGAACAGAGAAAAAAATAAATAAACGTTGAGTTGTGTCTATGAAAATGAGCTCTACAGCTGCGAGTAAAAGAGAGCTACTACTCCCCATGTAAGTGCGAAAGGAAAATTACTTCTTTTTTTTTTTTTTGCTCACTTTTATTCACGCGCGAGTTGAAACTAAACTCTAAATGCACTTTTAATAAGTATATATGCCGCATAAATTGTCGAGAAAATTCATCTGAAAACGACTAGTGGCTGCGCTCTGCTCGCGCGTCAAGTGGCTCGAGGAAAAAATGTTTCTTTATATGCTCGGCTAACCAAGAAAGACGGAGTGCGGGGAAACGAGAGAGAGAGAGAGAGAGAGAGAGAGAGAAATACAAATATATAACTAATATTTCTGTTGCGAAGCTACAGCGCAGTGCAATAGTATTAAAAAGCTTTTCCCATAATGTATCCACAATTTTCCCGTCACGGGCGATGTTTCATGTGCGCGGCTGCGACTCTCGCTCTTTTCCTCTCTCCACACGAACACACGCACACACCTTATACATATAAACGTGTACGCGCGACCGTATAAACTATATACATACTTTTCGCGGTAAATACTGAGTTATGCTTTTTTACGGATGTTTACGTTGATACAGACGTAATAATGACATATTGAAATGGCCAAGCGACGCGGAAGTACATAAAATATCGTAGTAATATATAAAGCTCAAATTTATTTACGAAATATGGATCTCCCAGGTATAATATTGCAATTTATGAAAAAAGATAATAATTTCCATCTCTCTCTTCTTCCCTCTCCTTCTTCTTTTTTTTCTTTTTGATATTTTCAATTTTCCGAACAAAAATATAGCAGTAGCAGCGGCAGCGGTTATACACGAAGGCGCACTGCACACGTGCGCGCACAGAGATGATCTTCACGTCAGGAATTTATCGTGTGCCGTGTGTATAACGATTGCCGTCGAGTGCGCATAGGTATAATAATGGCATAACTTACGAAAGATTCTGGTCGTACTTGGGTCGGGAATATTTCGGCTGGGCCATCATCTTGATGCGTTTGGTGGCTCGGGCGCGCAGAGCGGCACGTGGTACTTGGAATGGCCGGGGCTGTAAAATGAATTTCAAATCTAGAGATCCACATCTCAAGGGACGAATTGAGTTGTATGCATATAGTCATAGCACGTGTGTTATATGTTACGTATAATCATCCCGGGCGTGGTGCTTTACTTTGCCTAACAAACTCGACGGGATAGTTTGAAATCCAAATATTTGTTGAAATTCGACAACGACAACTCTCGGCCCCCCGCCGCTCGGCCGCATGTGTGCTGCTGCTGCGTATACACTGTACATGTGTGTAGGTGGTGGTGGCGGCAGTGGCTAAGTGTGCAGACCCTACGTGGCAAATGACACTGACACAGTTTGAATGTTTAATTACTTAATTAAAATATATATTTATCCAGAAATTAAAGGTACAAAGGGCCGCCCTCGCATATGTATGTACGAGATGATTTTAATACTCAAGTTAAACAACCGCGAAAATGATTATGCCTCGACGACAAGAAGTTTAAACAAAAAAAAAAGGATTCGAGGCACCTATAACGTTTCTCATTATGCGTTTACTTTCCTAACAACAATTCTCAAACAAGTCAACAAAAGCTATCTCTAGACTCTAACGACAATTACTTTTGCAAAATTTAATCGCAGTTGTTCTCGCGTGGCGCGTTGCAGCAAACTTGCCGCCTTGGTGCGCTCTCCTCCTCCGCGCGGTGCTGCACACAGCTGTATGTACATGTATGTATGTACGCGGCGCGGATATGTCGTACTATATACGTGCCTTTGTGCGCACCGCACACGAGCTCGCTCACACGCAACGAGCGCGCCTAATGGCACGTTTAGCCACGCCAACGTGTGTATTATATCGGAGATTGAGTGAATAAATTCAGAATCACTATCACGCTCATTGCCCGAGCCCGCGGAGTTACTGCACACGTATAATGTATGCACCACTAATGAAAAATCGTCAAAGTTTCGCAGTTGTTTCGTTCGTTTGTGTGTTTTGGTGTGTTTGTGAGTGTGTTGTATATTTTACAGCAGCGGCATAATCTCAATCTTAATATCCATCATAGATATTGCATTCGTTTCAGAGCGACGGTGGTGGCGAGCTCGAACGCCAGTACGCGCGCAGCAAAAATGTATACATTCGTGCCACGCGCGTCGACGGCACGGGGGATCGAGAAGTTTATTTTTGCAACAAAACCCAGACCAGTGCCGCGGCACCAGCGCATTGATTTCTCTTTCTCTCCATTGTTCATTTCTCTCCTATATTCATGAAATTCAACGAGAAGGAATAAAAAAGAAAAAAAATGTGGTGGGAAAGAGGAAAAGTAACAAACACCGAGAGCTTTCTTCCTCTGAAAAAACGCAATCAAAAGCTAGACCATTTGATTACCTGCCACAAGTTTGTGAAAAATATCACTACCAGTGCACGCCATTATCTTAAATTAATATCTCGACAAAAAAGAGAGTAGCTACGTTATATTGTACATTTGTTTCTCGTGGCTCGAAAACATAAACGTAACAACACCCAGTCCCACGAGCGGCTCGTATACACAGCTGCAGCAGGAAAGAGGGAAAAATTTATGAACGACCTTTGAGAGATGAAAAGATCCGAGTAGAGAAAGGCGGGGGATGAAAACACGAAAACGTCCGTTACGCGTCGATCAAACGAAAACGAGAAATCGCATATGACGGTAATTAATAGCGCGCAGCAGTGTCGCTAAATCGATAACGCGTGCCCAGAGTTAAGGGATCGTCTATAGTGGCGGCGGCAACATACAAGGGCGATCCACTTGCCGCTGTGTGCCACCAGTCCATTATTATGATCCGGCGAGGCGAGGAAGGTGCGACATGAGCTTTCGACAGGACTATAACACGTATTAAATTATCGAAGCAAATGTATCGACAGATGTATTGGATAACTATCATCGAGGTCATCGTTGTCGTCCCGCATCTCTTGATAATATACGACAGAGAGAAAGACGAGTGCGCGCTGGAATTCGACAGAGGAGGAAGATAAGCGAAAAAGCAGCAGCCTAGTGCTGTTTCAGTGTGTGCCATGAATCCTCTATTTTTCCCTCGTCGTCGGACGTACACTTTGTTGATTGCACAAGTACGAGAGAAAAAATACAGCAGAAAATCGACCTTATTGCTTAGACGGCGCGTTATATCCGCAAAAAACAATTTGCTGACGATTGCTCGTTTTTTTCTCCGAAGTTCGACGGCGACGACTTGCAGTAGCACATGCGTGTCTAAGTACATTTCTTCGTTCGACTGCGGAGTGCGTAATCAATCCCCCTTGGCACTGTCCGCATGTGTGCGAGCGAGAGAAAGAGAGAGAGGAAATAAAGGGAAAAAGAGTCGTATCGTCCCGACAGCGGCGACGTTCGTCGCTCGTCGTTCGATTCTATACCCTGCAATGGTATGTGCTAGAGTAAGAGAGAGAAGGAGAGAAAGCGAGAAAGAGAAAGATAATTTGCATATAGCAAGTCGAGCAAGCAAATGCTGGTCTTTTGTGCGAGCACGAGAGAGAGAGAGAGAGAGAGAGACGAAAATTTTGTACGTAACCAAGGCATCAACTGCAATTATCCTATGCGATTGAGTTTTACGCCGGGTTTCATGCGAATTTTACCCGACGTATAACATATATATGCTATTACTGCTATTACCCACCAACCCCCCTATATACCAGCATACATACGTATACGTAGTAGTGCACCGGAACCTCTAGCTCGTTTTTACTTTTATTTCTTTTAGCTCCTGTTTTTCCAGCTGCGTTGTTTTTCTTGAGGAGACATTTTTTTTGTTCTTTCTTTCTTTTTATTTCTATTCTTTTTCTGTTTTTTTTTAGTATTTTACGATATACTGCTGTCAGTTCCTTCTCTTCGAGCTTGCGCGCGAGTCAATGACGCACACGGATTCGCGCGACTTTAGCGGAAAAATAATTTGTTCTCGGTCTGGAGAAACGCGTGGAAGCGTAATTACCGACACAGAAGAAACACAGGCTACAAACGCTCACTACGCTCTCTCTTTTTCTTTGCGCTTTTTATTTTGAAATTAAAAAATAAATCTTAATATCGTTGCATTTTACAAGGCTGCAGTGAGGCTTGAAAGAGTAATAAAATTTTATACATGTACATGAATATTCGATTTTTTGCATCCACGAGTAATTTTTCCTTTTTACTTCCTCTTTCTCTCTTTCTCTCACTCTCTTCTCTTTTTGCTCTCATACACTTATGCGCGCGCGCGGGAGCTCCTCAAGAAGCTCTCAGCAGCACTACTCTCGCGCGCGCACCTTACGGGGCAAAAGTAGGTTACGCATTCTCAGCTCTAAGATAATTCCGCACCAGCCTTATATACTTACTGCCTGCAGCTCGTTCGACACTATATACATTATTTTTTATTCGATCGGAGCGCGCGCGCACGCGAAACTCGCATCGGTGCTCATAACTATGCACCAGCGCGCGGGAGATTACCCTCTGCAAGTTTGTATTATTCAAAAATGGGCTTTGGCTCGCGCGCCCCACGCATGACCTATGGTGTCACCTCGCGATACATTCCCAAACTGATTATAAGCTAATTACGCGTTCACCGAATATACAGCTGAAAATGATGATTTCGCGCTGGCTGTGCAAAATATATACAAAAATGAGAAATAAAAGATTTTTAGCGCGCTCGAGCGACTTCCGATTATACATGCGCACATTGTTATTCTGACTGAATGCGCTCACTCGATCAGTCGCGAAGCCACGAGCGTCGTACATAGCAGCTGCACAAGTCTACCACTATATTCTTTTTCTATATGTTCCGTTCATATACTTCAAGTCTGAGAGTGAAATCATCAACGCTCGTTGAACATCGCATTTTTTTCAACCGGACGCATTTCATCCAATATAGAGATACACTTGCCTTGCACTCACTTCATTTCACGTTGAGAGGGTGAGCGCGCAAGAGGGAAGATGATGATGGATAAAAAAAAGAGAGAGAGAAAGAAAAAAAATTTTACGCATACAGCTATTGAGAGCAAGCCATAAAAATCAAGGAGTCGAGAGAGGAGGAGGAACGTAGTGCGAGAGCTAGCAGCAGCAGCACACTTTCTTGACTCGCTCGCTCATCGAACGCAATCATTAGATCCAGTGGAGTAGCCGAGCACAAAAGAATCTCCTCCTTCGTAAATCCCTAATACCAGAGCAGCTCTTTGGGGGAATAGGAGGGTAGGAGGGATATAGCACGCGCGCGCGAAGGTATAGGCGAAGGAAAAAAGCGCGAGCGAGCGAGAGAGTGAAAGATGTAAGAAAAAAGGAACAAGCTCTCATCTTTCTATCTGGCCTGCGCGAGGAAAAGAGAAAGACAGAGAAAGAGAGAGAGAGAGAGAAATGCTGCATTATAACGCATGGCTTACCAGACTGTTGAAATCGATGGCATGTGGTGTTCGCCTCCATAGCGGCGTTGCCAAGATTACTATGTGCCGTCTGCGCGTTAGATGCGCCCGCGCGTATTTAATCCTTTTCGACACCATGACGAGTCGTGCGCTTCCGTGAGAGAGCCTCAGCCGCTGGCCCGCTCGCCGCTTCTTCTCCTTCTTCTTCCTCTGCTACTTTCTTGCGAGGAGATTTCTAGCTCTGAGAGCTGGAGACTTTTTAACGGCCTGTCGATGACGTTGATGCCGTTGCTGCAGCTGGTGAAAAGCTCATCCGGATTAGCGCCTTAGACATCCGTAGCAGCGTGAGGAAGCTTTTTACGATCTCGCAGCTTCGCGCAGATGCCCAGGCTTTTTCATCAGCTGGCCTATAAAATATTTTTGCCCAATGTCAACCTGTTTGTTGAGTGCACAAAGCTGCTCTGCTCGAGAGCTGCTATCTATATTTATATCATGTATACATAAGCTATTGCCGGGCTGTGCACTCGCGAAAGCCCAGTGAAAATATAGTCAAGCTTGATTATCTGAGATAACGAGCAGCTCGTTTACGGCTGCGCAGGCCCTGATTATATTTCGGCCGGCCGGACGAATGAAAGAGAGAGATAAAGCGCGCGTGTTTTTCTCCTTGACCGTGTGCTGCTGCAGCTGGGAGGTAATTTTTAGAGCAACGACCGACCGACCGCGACCACCACCACCACTCATTGCAGCACTGAGAGAGGTAGAGGTAGAGGTAGAGAGAGAGAGAGAGAGCAAATAATTCCCGAAATAGACTTTTCGACTAATTGTCCGAATATTTCGCGCGCGCGACCGTAATTTTCCGCTCTGTTTTATTATACATCCGCGGGCGCGTACGCGAGTGAACGTCCCGCAGTGAAACTTTGGCGCGGGGCAATGGCTTTACACGTGTTCGTTTATACAGAGAATAATTAATTTGACGCAGGTAATCCAGCGACCGCAATACTCTGCGACAAAATATGACGGTGCAATCAAAAGTATTAAATTTGTTAATTATTCAGCATTTGCCGTAATAGAGATTAATGCGAAAGCCGATAATCGTGCGCATGCTGGATGGGTAGCCGAATATAAGCGAAGAAGGAAGTAGACGTTGGTGGTGCTGGTGGCTGTGCGAAGGCAAGAGAGCATATCTGCAACTGGGATTGGCCTAAAAAGGCTAAAGCAACATTTTAAAAAGCTCTTTTTCTCGCTCTCCTAATAACCGTGGAAATGCAGAAAGTTGCTGCTGCTATACGGAGTGAGAGTGAGGGTGAGAGAGAGAGAAGCAGAGCCACTTAACCTCTTGCACAACTCTTTATCCCACACCCTTACCTCCGACTCGCTCGCTCTCTCTCTCTCTACACATCCTTTTTATTTCGCTCTATCTTTCCCCCTTAGGTACTAAGTAGCAGGGCTCACTCACTCACTTATTTTTCCGCACCGCGAAAACCACGACGTTCAAAAACTTCTCTCTCTCGTTTTCTCTCTCTCTCCCTTAATTTCAGCCGACGCCGCCGTGCTGCTGCCACACTCGCGTGCCTTGGAAATTCTTCCTACTCCTCGCTCTCCACTTTTTTCCTTTATTTTCTTCTATTTTCTTCTTCTATTTTTCGGGGGAAGATGGCCCTTTTTCTTCGTAAAAGAAAGAATTTACCTCGCTCCCTACTACACTCGGGGATTTTAGACGCTCTTGTGATGGATGAGTTCAGCTGTGGCCTAAAAGATGAGGTAGGTTAGGTGAGTTTGTGTACACACATAAAAACTATACATGTATATACCCCCCTACACGTATAGCAGACTGATAAAGCGTGGGGAGGAAAAAAATTGAGAAACGGATATGACGCGTTCACGAATACACGCTGAAAATGTATGTGTGTACGTGTGTGCGATATAGCCACCCGTTCTGTACGTCCGCGTGCTTGCGAGAGAAGAGTTTTAGCCTTTCTCGAGACTCGGGAAAAAGTTTTCTCGTCCTTCCAAACGGTGTCAAGCGCCAATCAGTGCGGTTTTCTTCGACTCGCTTTTCGCCTTTCTCTTTCTTTCAACAGCTATTGTCCCTCTCCCACGCTCTCTTCTTTAGCTGTTCTCGCGAAGACGGCGACGACTTTTGCGCGACACTTTTTCCTTTCTTCGTTCTTACTCTCTCTTATTCAGGGTCGTTTCGTCGCGTTCCTTTAATTTTTAAGGCGTTCCTATGGACCTCGCCAACGACTCACTTTTTCTCCTATTGTCTCAATCGGCCCGAGTACTAAATGTACTTTTTCGGAAGAGCTGCGCGATAGTTGCTGCAAATGCAAGTCTTTGTCATTTTATTAGCTCGATAGTACTTGTGTACTTTTTTTCTTCTGATTTTTGAAACAAAAACAATAAATTGAAATTTGGCCCAGTAGTAATTTATTTTATTAATTTATTTATACTCATTCAAGTGTTTTTCTTCCGAAAATTATAGTTTGTCTCAGCACTTAGACTGTTGAGAAAATCTTAAATTTAATGCAGGTTTCATGTAAAATCAAACATTAAAGTTATAGTAACCGATACTCAATTTTATTGAAGGTTCTTTTACAAGAAATCTTCTTGGACATTTTATGTATCAGTACTAAATTTTTTTTTTATTGCAACTGCACAAACAATTCATCAAATGCATGTACTTAATTTTAATTTCAAAAATGAATAAAAAATACTGAACTCCACATTCAATTTAAAACATTATCACCGAAAATTAATGTTTTGATTCTGATTTACTTTAGCGTATATTGCTTCAAAAATTTTAGAGGGTTCAATCGTAATTAAAGCTAGTCAATATTACTAGATGGCGAGTACCTTTATCGATAAATCTGCAAGTGGCAAAGTTAAAATAAATGTATGAGTAAAAGCAATATTCTAAGAACAATTTGTTCTACTAATAGCAATTTTCATACTCTTATTTATTGTTTATTTATTCATCATCCTTCGTATTATAGGGAAATTACAGGGGCCTACAAGGTACTAACTATATTACACTAAAAATACATTAAAAAAAAAATAACTTGATACTAAATTCTAAATAATATAAATTATTCATTTTTCACAACCATATAAGCCGATGGCATATTTTTTCTTGAGAGTTCGATATCAATGTTCCTAATTCTTAAAACCTGACAGTAACTCATTGAAACTCTTATTATTACAATACATTTATTTCCTATGCTTATAGACGGTTGAATGGAATGCAAGTTGTATGCTTATATTCCTAGGGTTAGATGTGCTATTATATTATTAGAATACAGACATTAAAGCTAATTAAAATGAACTTTATCAATAATATTTTTCATCTCGAACTAATTTTTAAAAATTAAGTAATGGTACAGTTTTCAAATGAATTATAATTTTAAAATCAAATTTAATACCCTGTAGATTATCGAGAAATTTTTAATGAACGTTAAGAAAGGCTAAATGAAATGAATTTGATTTCAAGTGAACTGAAAAGAGCATTAAAAATATCGCGATATGAAAATAAGGGCGTAAAAGAAAATATTTAAGGATAATTATGGAGCTCTTTTCTCACAAAAAAAAAAAAAAAAAAAAAAAATACGTATCGAACGTTCTATTTATACAAACCTTTCGAGCGAAATAAGAGTATATTCGAAGAATTAGGTAAAAAAAAGTAAATAATGACAATAATAAAAAAGGAAAGTCAAAAGCCCGCAAGCCATGGAGCCTTATCGTATTACCTTTGTTTCAATGGTGCTTTGTTCCTTTTTTTCTTCTACCTCCCCCGCGGCGCTTTAGCATTTATTTTCATTTTCAAGAGCTACACACGCACGCGTATTCGTGCATGTGTATGTGTGTACGTGCCAGTGCCAGTATAATGTACATCTATAGCTGCAGAATGTCAGGCTGGGTTTTTTCTCTCGCTCCTATCAGCCGCACACATATATATACAGCTCTCTATATATAGAGCAACATTTGTCTCTTCTCTCAGCGGGCTTCCGTGGCGCTCGCGCGCGCGTGCGCTCATTTCTTGTGCGAGTCAAAGCTTCATCTATCCGCGTCGGCGTTATCATAATCTCCATCTAACTACTACTCGCCGTGCGCGCCGACGATGACATTCTACTCGTTCCTTCTCTCTCTTATTCGTGTATTTTGACCGTTTTCTCGCTTACACCCACTCGCGCAATAATAGATAGCGATGAGTCCGTGCAGTTGAGCTTAAAGCTACGTACTCTTTAGTGATAAAATGAGCGTACAGAAAAGAATTTGTTCCAGTTTCATTCGAAGGGATGGTCTTGAAAATTAAAGCTAATTTTATTCTGGATAATATTTTCGGCACTATTTCTCTTTATTTTTTTATACTCGAGAAAATTCTTTGAAAAATTATATAAACTGCCGCCTCCGCTTCTTTTGGCGTGAGTATCGATCGATCAAACGTGGGTGAGAAATTTTTAACTTCTAAAATAAGCCCGAGCATTATTAGTCGTTTCATCTCGCGATCGGACGGTATATATAAGTTATAAAGATTAAAATCTGACCCAGCAACGAAATATTTCAATAAGCGACGTGTATATTACTAGCTAGCAGCAGCAGCCGCCACCGCCAAAGCCATCCAAGCCCATTCTGCCGATCCGTTATCGCAGACACTCGATATTCCTTATAGCTACTTGGGTTCTTATCTACGGGCTTATTCAGCTCGTGCGCGACTACTACTACTACTACCCCCTCTGCGTTCGTAAATCAATCACATGGAAATACGCACATTCAAGTTTTTCACCTGGAAATTGAAAATAAGCCGAGAAAAATTTGCATTTAAAAATAAAATGGCAGCGGTACACGCAGCGCTTATATGCGGTACAGCTCCACTGTATACGAGTTAGAACAATAGTCGACTCATTGCCGTAGTACACATACACCCGGCAGTATACTGCGCAGCTCGATGTAAAAACTCAACTGGCTATTATGCGGCTTTGAAATATCGGATGTTAGTACAGTAATTAGAACTCGGGAGAGAGAGAGAGAGACAGAGAAAGAGCGAGAGAGAGGGAAAAGAGAGAAGAGAGCGAATGAGTTGACAAAGCCAGAGAGCCGTTCATTTGCTTCGTTACAAGGCAAGAAAGAGCTGCTGCTACGAG